GGTTCATTGGAAATTTCTGGATTTTTTTTCTCCCTGGAAGTTACTACTTCTCTACTCAGGTAAGAGTAAATAATGAAAATGCCTTTTTCATCACAGAAAGATGCTACACAAAAGGCGAATATTGTTACTGATAGCACCCCATCTAAAGTGGAGATTCTGTGGATGAGGACTAAGAATAGGATATGAGAAAAATCTTGGCTCTGTGGAGGTTGGCCTAAGTACATGAAGACATAACTCTCAGTTTAACGGATCCCATTTGAAAGATGCATTTGTCAAACACACTGCTTGTCATTTAGGACAAAGGATACAATAGGAACAGAAATCTAAATATCTTCAGAGGGAACATTTTTTCTTGTTAGACTATGTATATAGGGTACAGCTAAAAGCCTTTATAATGATAGTGCTGGTGAAGAGAGCCTCTACACACACGTTAAGTTATGTACTTTCTCTCTGGCTGTATGATTGCCGTGATTTGTGGGACAAGGTTTGATCCATGGTGTTTCCAAATCCATCTTGTAATGAGTCAAACTTAGCACCTGCTTCTGCTCTGTAAGCATGTCAAAGCTTAAGATGGTGTTAGAACATTGTGTTTAATTTACTAGGATATAAGATTATAAAGAGGAAAACTATGTCCCTGTAAGAGACTGGCAGATTAAAGGGAGAGAACATGCCTTTCTTCCATTTTGAGAAGAGGTAGAATTAATTCCAATAGAAAGAAGTGCAGGTGAATGGGGAAGGAATGAAGAAAACTAGTTATATGAGGTAGAGGTAAAGTAATGAAATAACTTTTAAGCACACATCAAGCCAGTATTTGAATTGGTTCTGTCCTTCAAAATTACCTTGAAAGCTCATATCTGTATTCCAGGGACACTGCCACTGCTCAAAACATCATGGGCACTACTCGTGGAGATTTTTCTTGTTACTCTTTATAGTATGGTTTGATATCCTAGTTGGTTAATATCACTTCATAATGATGATGAACTGTGGCATTATTTCTATCCCTTCGCCTGTTTATAAATGGACATAAGAAATATCATTCCATGGATCAATGTCTCCCTATCATCAACTTTTATATACTGATGGCATATGCTCTGAGCCCTCATGGAAAGACTACTAGGTGGTGGCAGCATTGTGAATATAGCTCTTCACTCTCATGTGCTCAGCTCTAGCTCTCTCTACTCACAAGGATTAGGGCACACAATTAAGATCAAAGTCTTTCATATAAAGTGATTCTGACAGAACAGCGACCAGAGATAAAGAGAGCACAGGTACCAGGCAAGACCCTAAAGAAAATTCCTTGTTGTAAGAGTAGCAAATGCTGCTTGGGTTCATCTGATGGGACATAGGTGTTGCTTTGATATACAGAACACTTTGTAGTGGTACTTATTGTAATGTGACTTAATCTGTTTTGTTAGATGGAACACAGGGAGAATGTTAGCTGGATTCCAACAAGTGAAATTCTCAGTTAATTCAGCTAGGATTTGGAAATGTATACAATGTCTCTCAGCACGTCATTCTGTAAACACATATTTATTGGGCATATGATGTGTTAGGCATGGTTATAGATGCTCAAGAAACAGTGATATGTAAGATAGATTTGATCCCTGTCTTGTTAGTGTGTATATTCAGGTACTTAAAAAAAAAAAAAAAACAACAGATAGTAAAGAGTAGCAAGTTATTATAGGGATATTTCAGGAGCCATGAGAAAATATTGTAGGTATACTATTTAGAAGTCTTTAAAAAGTGAAGGAAGAGTGGTAGTTAGGGAGAAGGAAAGTAGAGGAAGAAAATTTCAGGTAGAGAGAATGGAAGGTGCAAACGTCTGTAAGAATCTAACAAGGTACAACTGAATTCAAAGAAGTGTCTAGAACCCAGGAGCAGTTTAGAGCTAATCTGTAAACCCTAATAAAGTTGCTTCAAAAAACTTTGTGATGTATGCAGTGTGATGTAATGTTGGGGAATCTAGGAGTGGAGGAGATTTGAGACCGCATTGGGAATAAAGTTCCTGCTCCTTCAAGGTCCATGGTTGGGGAGCTGTCCAGGACTTTGGTGCTGAATAGCTAAAGCCAGGACCTGCCTAAGGAAGGATGCTTCCTTACAAGGTGTTAATGGCTACCTCAGGGTGGGGAGAAAGAGAGTTGGTCTTTGTCTTTTATCCATTTTCCTTCTCTTTCCCTTACATATTTCCTTCTACCTCTCCCTCCTCCCATTTTCATTTTCTGGCAATCTGGCAGCTAGAGATCACTCTCCCTGGGAGGAAAAGGAAGAATGTGTTTCTTGCTCCTCCTCCATCAGTGACTTCCCTTTATAAAAAGTCTACATAGCATTGATGGTAGCAAATTCAGAAGAACACTCACCCCTATCTTAGGTTTGCATGGGTAGTTATTATTGCTATATTGGCCAACCCAGCCTATTCTGCGGCATTAGTGGGGAGATACTATTTTTGTCATATTATAGTTATCGTTAGTGTTATCACTGACTGAGCACCTACTGCAAGCCAGACAGTTTACCAACTGCTTTACTTCCCTAAGCTTCAGAGGTAAATTTTATTATGTCTGTTTTATAGAACATGGCTTAATTTGGAAGATCAGTAATTAAGACTTGTGCTCTTTTTTTCAATCAGTTATCTCAGACTACCTGAGGGATGATGATGGAAGATGTGGGAAATAAAATTCATTGATACTTACTATATATAGATGCTTTTAACAGTTGTTTTATTTAGTCTCATAACAATCCTGTGAAGTTGTACTGTTACTATACTTACCTTACACATGTAGGCAACAAGGCCCAGAGACATTCAGTGATTGGTTGGGGACACACCACTAGTGAGTGGCTGAGACAGTTTTAAACTTGGGATTATCTGATACTGAAGTCTATGCTCTTTCATCCACAGTGCTGTTTTAGTTTTATGGGCTAGCCACATCTACTGGTAAGTGATTTTAGCAACTGAAAACTGCCATGCCTCATTCTCCTGCAGTTCCGTTTTCCTCTGGGTCTTGATAACTTCTATATCATCTCTAGCCCTGGGTGGAGTGAGTAGCTTCCCACATCAGAGCATGTCAGTGGTGGGCAGGGTCCCAGTGAGTGGGGGCACTCGTGTGTTCTGTAATTGCACATTTATTAGGTCACAAGGCATCATCAAACCACGCTGGCCTTTGTCTGAATCCCCACTGGACAGTTTGGTCTCAGTATCAATACTGGAAATGTCAGTCTGGTAAACAGCCTTTAATGGGGAGGACGGAGGCTGAGAACAAAGTCTCCTTCAAATGAAACTCTAGGGGATGGGAGTGAACAGAGTCAACATCTTACTTGCTCTAAATCCCCTGGAGTGGTTATGAAAGAGAGAGGACTAGCTGGAGTGAGGAGGAAAAAAGTCCTTTGATTCATCTGAATTAATTTAGCATCTCCCAGGAGGGAGGGCTCTGGCATTATCCTCCTGTTCTCCATCCCCTTCATGCAACCCCACAATCCCGAAGGACAAAAGACCAGTCTATGGTAGGGAGTACCCATACTGCCCCTTCTTCCACTTTAATTAAATCCATTTGTCCTGGGGGCAGCACTGCGCCTGAGGATGTCCAAAGGCTTTGATCTCTAACCCACACACATCTGAAGGAGTGGGAAGCTGGTACTCAGAGTGAGGACAATCACTTCTTCCCATGACAGCAGAGTTCATATTACGAGCTCTTGGAAACAGCAGACTCTGTGAAGTTTGGGTGAAGAATCTGAGACCCAACTTTATACTCACAAAGCTGCAAGCCAACTGGCATCACCCTTGTCTTGCCTTAAGCCCTTTGTCCTCATTTTTCAAAGGTGGATCCACGAGGATGGTCACTTGAATGGGTTTTAAAAGTCTAAATGCAGAGGCTGTGCTGGATTGCTGGGTTTGACATTTAGCCTATTAAAGGTGGTTTTCCCCCTCCAGAGCCATATATCTGCCCTCTTTATAGAAAAAAACCTCCCACCATCTGCCCTCTGCCTTTCTTGGTCTGGAACAGATCAGTGCACCAACCATGGAGGACTCAGTATGCTGCGTCAGGGAGTCATGTGAGCGGCTGTGCTGGGCCAGGCACTGCTTGTCCCAGGCTGACTGCAGGTGGCAGATTGATGCCATCCTGGGGAGACAAGTGGCAACTGATCTCAGTGGTTATGGCTCCATTTTAGAGCCACATGGAGTAGTCAATGATCTTCTAGTCCAACCCTCTCAGTTTAAAGTTGAGGAAACTGAGACCCAGAGGTTCAAGGTCACAAAGCCACTAGTGATAGAATTCAAATAGGAACCAGGACCTCTGGGAGAAGCCCTCCTCTGTTTACTGAAGAATTTGTCATTTCCCTCATCTACCTGCATCAGTGACCTGACTCCACAAAGCCTCGGACTTGGACTGACTTGAGCACCAGTCCTCATTCTGAGGTCAACTTGCTGGTGTGGTAACTCTTTGGTTACCAATGAGAATCTTGTGAAAGGTCAGGAATGAGGATAGGTATCCTCATAGGTAATACAGACCTTATCTGTATTACCTTATCTGTATTACCTATGCCAAAGATAAGGTCTGTATTACCTATGCCAAAGACTGTGTTGTTCATAAGGGATAAACATAGTGTCAAATGGAAAAGTAAGGCAAATGCGTTAATTAAGAGAAAATGTGATATACCTATAAAGCCTGATTATTATTTGGCAGTAATATAAGTTGTTCAGTTTTATTTCTTCCTGCTACAGACACTGGAAGCAGCCAATCCGGCCAGGCCAGAGATGCAAGAGGTGAGTGCTCATTAGCATGGAAATCCCACAGAGAAACTCAGTGCTCCCTACAAGTCTGCAAAAGTGTGTGTGTGTATGTGTGTATGTATGTATGTATGTATGTGTACATATTTTATGTATGCCCATGTATGTGTTCATGTGCATGTGTATCTTGAGTAGAAGGGATGGAGGGAGGGAAGACATGACCCCTTTCTGTATTTTGGCTGACAGAGGAAGAGAGTGACAGGAATGGGTGGAGGCTCACCTGTCAGTCACATCGAGAAGAGGCAGCACCGTCCACTGCCACAGGCTCAAGCCTTCATTGGTGGCAACATGCCAGACCATTCTGCTTTGTTCCTTCCCAGTTTTGTTCTCCACCAGCACCAAGGAGACATTTCCCTGTAAGACTCCACGGATGAGCCAGGACATTCGGAGCTGTAAGGGAGAGAAGAGCCAGAGGACAGCTGTTAATATTAAAAGGAAGCCTCAGGTCCCCTTCCTGGAATTCTCAAAGGTGTTGGAGACTCAGCCAAGGTGTCCCCAGTAAGGAAATCTGGTGGCTGTCTGATTTTGCTCAGTCTCCCAAGATGGCTTTCATGAAGGTTCAAGGAGCAGGGGCAACAATGGACAATTTTGGAATTTTTTCAGTTTGATCCTGAACTTCACAGGATTCTGTGGCTGAGCTGATATTAAGATCCCAAGGATAGTAAATGAACTTCTTAAAGGGGATCCAAAGATTCTTCTCTGTGGCCCCAATTAGCTTTGTGACCTTTGGACAAGTGATTTTATGACTCAATTTCTTTAATGCTTTAGGTAGCATAGATTTTTATTCCCCCCTCCCCAGACTCTAATAATCTTATTTGAACAATACAATACCATGTGTTAGCTAACTGGGAGACGCTATGACTTGTTACCCGTGGGTACTGGTAGGCAAAGGTGAGATAAAAATCTCATATCAAGGTACTTCCAAACACTTGTCTTTCAGAATGAGGATATCCATTTTGACAAAAGGAAGCTACAATCATGTTTTTTCATTGTGGCTTGATTAAAGGTTCCGATGGCATTGTTCCCTAGACATACGAAAGGGACTATAGCTGATAATTCTAAAAGACTTTAAGGGCAGTCATGCCCAGAATCAGTATATCCAATAAACAAGGTCTCTGGTCTTTGTGTTTGATAGAAACAGTCCGTAAACAACATTTAAAACTTAGGACAACTAAAGCATATAATTGCCCCAAATATTCCTGTTCAGATCCTATAATCAAAAGAATGGCTATTGTGGAATAGAAGGTAAAATGTGTCCTCTGGAAAACTAGCATTTTCATCTGCTTTGGTGCCCCCTTTTCTTTGATTCTTGTTGTTTGAAGACTTGCTTTTCTGTAAATCACCATTCCTTTTTCTCCTGGTCCCTGAGCTCAAAGTTTCCTCATCATTTGATCAAGAATGTCACATACCATGAACTTTCCACTTTCTTGCACACGACCTCTTCACTAACAAGGTCACAACTGGCACTGGGTTGCCCAGGTGCTGTTCTACTTATCTGAGGCAGGTAAGCCTGGTCCATAACCATAACCTCTTCCCTTAGACCTTTCCCATTTCCCAAATCCAGTGTAGCAAAAATACTTGTCACCAATGAGCACTCCCAGGATAATTTAACAAATCTGTTAACTGTTTTTTTTCTGACCTCACTTGGCTTCCTTGTGCAGTCTGGATGCCATGACTAGAAATTTTAATCCCACCAGTGCCAACTAACCCCTCTCAGCCCTTAGCCCATGCCCTTCAGTGCCCAGCTTGGGATGTTGCTTGCCATGTCCTTTCTCTCCTTTTGCTCCCTGGCCACAGAATATTGCTGATTTGGACTTCTGTGAAATCACAACGTTGCCCTGGACTGTTGTTGGCACTTACTCATTCCACTGTGGATTTCCATGGTTGATTTCTGAATACACAGAGCACAGTGGGTGTTTCAAACTCTTCCTCAAACACTAAGGCTGTTACCTCTTGGTCGCTAACTCTCTTGACTATTATTTTGATTCTTACTTTACTGATAAAGATTTACTATATTAGGTGAAATCTCCTTCAGCCCCTCTGCTTTCCTCTCTTCCCTCCTTTCTTTTTCTTTCTTTCTTCCTTCCCTCCCTCCCTCCTCTTCCTCCCCCTCTTCCTTCTCCTTTTCCCTTTCTCCTTCTTTGTCTTCTTCTTCTTCATGTAGGTTTTTCTTTATCCACCTTCCTTCTTCTTTTCCTGTCTTAGCAGAAGATGTATCCTTCATTTTCTTCTATGTTAATCCCTCATGTTTTTACCTCCTCCTAGTCCTTGTTCCTGCTTCCAGCACCTTTAGACTCTTTCTGCCTTCTGGCCCTTCTGTCTACAAATAATATCAGCTTTCATCTGTCCCAGAAAAATATCCTTTATTTGATCCTGCTAGTTCTTCTGACTTGCAACCTATTTCTGCTCCTCCATTCAGATGTTAACACTGTGGGTAACTGGCATGTAACTGCTTTTATTTCCTTGTTGCCCATTCTTTCTTTAAATTCTTTTAACCTGGCTTCTATTCTCATTACTCTGACAAAGTAGCATCCACAATGTCCTTTATCACTTACTCTTTCAACTCTCTCCCTGGCCTCTCAAAGTGCCTCTCCCTCTACTTTCTCCCTTCTAAATTCTTTTGTGTATCTCAAGCATGTCTTCCTGTTTACCACTGCCATCTGTGACTCTTCAGTGCTTTCTCACTCCCTAGCAATTAATATCAAGGCATTCGTGTTTCTCTATAATCTAAGAAAATAAGCTTTTTAGGCATTCGGTGAATATGTATTCAGTACTTACACTGAGTCACATGTATCCTCCACCCTAGAATGGTCTAAGAGTTTGAGTTAGAAAGATCTGGATTCAAAAACTGTTCTTGTCACTTTGGTTCTTTTGCAGCTCAGTTCTGTATTCTCCAAGATGAGAATAGGCCTATTAGGATTATAGTGACAACTTAATGAGAGATGACAAATAGTGTAACAAAATGGTGAAAAGGAATTTTGGCTGAAGCACTGAGGCCACAGATACTACACTTCAAAGGGACATCTGAGAGCACAATGACACAGGACTTCTATGAGGGGTGGATGAAAACAGGTCACACAATTCTTAATCTCTTTGGATTTTTAAAAAAGTTGGTGATTGACTATGAGGAGAGTGTTTTTAGAATGTGCTTTTGTATATCATGAGCTCCATAGCACTTTACCCTCCTGCAGAGAAGGGTTCCTCTTCATCCCAAGTCGAGAGAGAGAGAGTGAGCAATTTTAATGATACCCCCTAATATCATCAATTAATGATTGATACTAATTCCCTACAATTTGGGGAGCTCAACAGAATACTGTCTAACTCCAACCTGGAAAATCCAAAGTATGAACAAGGGGCTGGTTGGCTGCTCTGGTGGCAGAACAAAGGCAAAGTGGAAGCACTGAATGGCCTGCACTCCCAGAGTTTGACGGTATACAACATGCATGAACATCGCACATAGACTAGAGTGAGCCATGTACACAGCAGCCCATGTGGGTCATTTTAGATCTTTTCCAAGGGGGCTTCTTGAAGGGGTAAATAGAACTCAGAAGAAGGAAGCTACAGGCATCTCAAGATGCCAAAGGACAGAGGAAAGAGTAAGTGACCACCGGGGATGATACATAGGCCCTCGTCAAGGCGAACGGTTCCCAGCCATAGTGGAGGGCGTGAGGAGAAAGGTAAATCTCCCAAGAAAGCACAAAAGTGCCCCCTGTGAAAACCAGTAGGCACTAAACATTGGTCACACCCAGAGAATATCAGTGCCAGATCACCACAACAGTTCTGGTCGTGTAAGAGTTTTCTTGCTCCCCTTAACCTCTTTTCCTTTCCCTGCCCTTGAGATCTTCAAGTATCACAATTAAGCCAGAAGACTGAAGAGGAGGAGAGCTGAGTGAGTAAGGAGAGAGAGACATCAATGACCCTCTCCCCAGTCTCAGTCTTCTCTGCAAAAGGGTCAAGCATGGCAGGGAAAGAAAGAAGCCCTAACTTTATTTTTAGTTTTTTAAATTAATTTAAAAAAATTGTTTATTTATGAGAGAAAGAGAGAGAGAAAGAGCAAAGCAGGGGTGAAGGACAGAGGGAGAGAGAGAAGCAGAATCCCCACTGAATGGGGAACCCGAAGCAGGGCTCGATCCCAGGACCCTGGGATCATGACATGAGCCTAAGGCAGACCCTTAACTCACTGAGCCATCCAGGTGCCCCAAGAAGCCCTAACTTTAAAGATACTGACCAGATGGGCATTTTGGCTTCTAAATAAGCCTGTGTTTTGTGTTTTGAAGTGACTAGAAAACTGTATTACCTTGGAGCAACCAGATGAGTAGTTTTCACTCAGTAGTCCACACATGGGGGCCCAACAGATGTTAGTTCCTAGTCTCCCTCACATCAGTCTACATACCAGCTCTGCTCCTGACATGTATTTTTCTGCCTTTGTGCTTTTGATCCTTCCATTTCCTCTACCTCTTCTATCCTTCTCGCCACTTAAGAAACCATTCAATCTATCTAATTTTCAGGGAAACTTTTCTTATCATCTGTCTCGGAAATGACTTTCCCCTCTTCTGAAATCTAATGCTTGAGGCTATTGGGATCATCATAGGACATAGCTCAGCTGCCTTGTCTTCCCTCCATCCTCCTCGGACCACAGGTTCCTTCAAGGCAGGGACTGTCTTATCTTGTCTTCACAGTCATTGTCAAGTGAGGGCACATGGTAGGAGCTGATCAGTGTCAGAATATATAAAGATGGATACACTTCCAGGAAGAGCTTCCTGTCTTTACCAGGTCCCCTCTCATGGACAGAAACCAACTTGACACCTGTGAAGTTCCTTAGCACTTTCCTGCATTATAGGGGTTGGGTTCTAGTGAAGGGAAGAGGATCCACACATCTTGCAGCTAACTGGCTATGGTTGAAATGGCCCAGGTCTCAGCTATTGCTAGGAAACTTTCAGTCTGAAGTAGATTCTGCTAGTGGCATGAGCATGTCAGTGAGATGTAGCCCTGTCATATCGACAATAGGGCCATTGGCTAGCTGACTGTTGAGCTTTCTCCGCTTTCCTGCACTATATTTTAGGCCTGGGAAGTGAGAACAGTTCTGGGTGCCAAGGGATGGCATCCCTAGCTCCTGAGGTCTACCAGGATTCCTCTTGAAATCAGTCCTTGAGATGATCATCTATTCATTCAAAAAATATTTACACATATCTACTCTGTACTGCATATTACATATATCTTCTCTGTCTTCATGAAGCTTATCATCTAGCCAGGAAGTCTGAATTTAAATGAATAACTGCAATGGTGCTGCATGTAGCAAAAAGGGAAGTAAATAAAGCCACTTGACAGTGAAGACATAAAACATCTGAGAGTCAAATCAAAGGCCACCTGGGTGGCTCAGTATGTTGAGC